TATTAAAGGTGCTGGTATTGTTTGGGGGGGGACTGCACACTTTAAGAGTAAAAAAAAACAAAACATTTTTGTTCTTTAGAAATGTCAGTTTTGCTGCAGCAGGTTCTATTCATCATACAGATGTGACACTTTACAGGCAGGTTAAGGGGACCCCCCAGGCACGATATTTGAAGGGATGTTTAATTTTTACCATTAGCGCCCCCACAAATCAATCAACTGGTAGATCGTGATGTCCTGTCCTCCCACCGTGGGGCTTCTTCTCTGGATCCCCGCTGCTCTCTCCATCTGTATGCAGCGGGGATCCCAAGAGAAGTACAGTTTTGCTGCAGCAGGTTCTATTCATCATACAGATGTGACACTTTACAGGCAGGTTAAGGGGACCCCCCAGGCACGATATTTGAAGGAATGTTTAATTTTTATTCTTACCCTTTAAAGTGATGTAAACACCACTGCTCCTTTAAAAAAAAAAAAAATTTTCATTGATTCCTGTACCCCAGGGCAGTACCCGGACCCCCATGCACCTTTTATGGACAATAACTTGCATATAAGACCTCTGAAAGGGGACATTCATTTCCGAACTTTCGACCCCCATTGACTTGCATTTATATTCATATTCAAACTTTTCGGCCGTTTGAATATTCGATTACTAACCGTGATCACTTGTGATCACGTTCACAGTAGGTTATAGAAAAGAAAGTCTTGTTGGTTTGACAAGAACACTAAACTTCAAAAAGGCAAACTTCAACAAGCTGCAATCCTCAATACATGATATCAAATGTCACGGCTCGCACAGCCCATTTGGACATTCTCGGCTGTCAAATACTACATGGCATTCAAGAACTCCCGAATGCCTCACAGACCAGAAAGGGCATTGGGGAGTTCCCGACTGCTATGTAGTATTTGACAGCTGAGAAGGTCAAATGGGCAGAGCAAACCATGACGTCACAGCTCACTCCGGCCATCTGTTTACTTCGAGCAGGAAGGTCATTTTGCGGCGAGTTTTCATCGGGTTTGGATGGTCGTCATGCGGCGGGACTTTTTTTATTTCGGCGGGTCGGCGGGCGTCGTGCATTGTGATTGACGCTGGATTTCATCGATGGAGCCTTTTTTTTAATTAACCCCTTCATGACTGATGATTTTAATTTTAAAAACTTTTAATTTTTAATTTTACTTTGACTGCTATCACATGGGGGGCTTACAAGCCCGCCCATGTGATAGCAGATGGTGGTGACAGGTACTCTTTAAAGGTGATGCTGGGGGTCCAAAAGACCCCCAGTGTCACCTTTACACTGGAAATAAGCTATTGAAGTGCAGATCGCACATCAATAGCTTAGACCTGGGCTGCAGGAGCCCAGAACTGACAGCCCAGGGACCGGAAGTGATGCAATCTGCATCGCTCCCGGTCCCATAGAACGGGGAGGGGATTGATGAATGGAAGTTCGTCGACCTCCTCCCCAGCTCCCCGCGGACACCAAGGATGCCGGTCCCGGACCCGTAGGAGGAGTAGACAGCCCAAGAATTTAAAATCTGCTAGGGTATGTAAACGTATGAGCACAAGTGTATATACTGTACATACCACCAATAGATCATGCTGGGTGGAATGTATACACCTCTGCAGTGTGTTCCCACTCAGCCTGATCTATTGGTGGAATGACTACACCTCTGCAGTGTATTCCCTTCCAGCCTGATCTATTGGTGGAATGTATACACCTCTGCGGTGTCCTCACACCCACCATGATCTGTTGGTGGAATGAATACACCTCTGCAGTGTGTTCCCACTCAGCATGATCTATTGGTGGAATGTATACACCTCTGCAGTGTGTTCCCTCCCAGCATGATCTATTGGTGGAATGTATACACCCCTGCAGTGTATTTACACCCAGCATGATCTATTGGTGGAATGACTACACCTCTGCAGTGTCCTCACACCCACCATGATCTATTGGTGTAATGTATGCACCTCTGCAGTGTCCTCACACCCACCATGATCTATTGGTGGAATGTATACACCTCTGCAATGTGTGCACACCCAGCAGGTGTGTTGTGCCAAGCCCTGCATGAATTGCATGGTCATGTTGTGTAAATTAGCTTTACGTTGTTTGTTGCTTGTGTTGATGAATACAGGAATGTAAATGTATGAGAACCATTTTTGAGTAAATTGTGATGTACTGATGTTGTTGGGATATAAATTAGTTAGCGCAATAAATAATTGAAGTCTCTCCATAAATGTAATGAGGAACACGTAAATACTGCCAAAATGAAACAATCTGCCATTAACAAACAGCTCTGGACAGTAGAGAAAGTTTGGAATAATAATCGTGCACAAACACGCTGCTAAAAACTGTGCACCAGTCGCGCGTGTTTATCCAATTCACAAAGAAATCTGGAAAAAATGGCGTGCTCGTGTTTCTGAGGGTAAAAAGTGTGTGAACGGCCGTCTAAACATGCACAGTTGGCTCATGTAGGCCTCAACAAGTCAGTGGTGTGTAAGTTACATATTTTTGAACACTGGTTTTAGTATTTTCAAAGTGTTTTATGTAATTTCTTCGGCCAGACAGTTAAAGTAGCACTGTATATCTAATGTGTGTATGAATTTCTCACATGTGGCCTCACTGGAAATACAATTTTTCAGACGTACATGCCGCTATTAGAACAACGTGTAGCCTATAGCGCATACTACACGACGCCCTCGTATGTAAATACATATAAACACTCCACTTATGCGCGAAAGTGTGAAATGATGCGCTTGTTTGTTTCATAAATACTTTTTAACTTGTATACACACGCACCTCATGTTTGGGTTAGTGAATCACCCCCACAGACTCACACACAAAACCCAAAAGGTTGAACTCAATAGACCTGTGTCTTTATTCCACCTTAAAGTGACATTAAACCCTCAGATTTTTTAACATAAAACAAGACTGTAATGTGCGCCTTACTGTAATCCACTAACTTGCATAACAGTTATTTCTGTTATATATATTAGTCATGTTGGGGAGCTCACAGAGCACTCGCACAGACGGTTTTAAATGAAGCAAAAGCTTTCATTTACCTCTTGCAGGGCAGCTAAAACGTTCAACACAAAATGCAAGCTTATCTTCAGCTAACTTAAAGTAACAGTCCAAATCTTCGGAACAAATAACAGAACATAAATGTGTCTCACCCACTTGTTGGAAGAAAAAAGTCCCACACCTGGAGGAATCCCTTCCCAGGAATATTAAGGTGCCCATACACCACACGATTCTCGTACGAGAATCGCGGGAAATCCCACGATCGTACGAGAATCGTGCAGTGTGAATGAAGGCGTGCAACCGTTTCTACTGTACCATCGCACGTCTTTTGTCTAAGGAACATGCTAGAAAACCAGGCTAGTTTGAATGATGCTCTGTAGACAAATGCCGAATGGGCCGTTGTGCGCACGCGCACACTGCCCATTCAGCATTGCAGTCATCGGAGGCCCTCCTTGGGGGGGGCAGGCTTGCGATGATCGCAAGTGCGATCTGCCTGTCCAAGATGGGCAGATCGTACGTTTTTGTAATTACTTTACAACCATCGCAAGACTAAGGTCTTGCGATGGTTGTAAAGTGTATGGCCACCTTAAGTCCTATCAGCACAGCAATACACCAGGTCTTTCTCACAGCCACAGGTGATCACTTCCTCCTCAGCTCCCACACTCCTCTCTGGGAGTTGAAGACCTTTAAACTCCTTCCTGGGGCAGGAAGGTTAACCCTGTGGTTGTCTTTAAAGGACCACAACCCAAACAGTGGTGATATATATATATCTGCCATCCAGGACCCAGCCTTGCCATCCTCTACAATATATATATTTGTATGGTAATATGTGATCCAAACGAAATTTCTCTTCTTCATTACAATCAATTAGGTGAAGTATTTAATTAATCTGTATTCTGGGAATAGCTAATGAAAGAGCAAACATCTTTGCTGCACCAATCCCTAGCAGTGTAGACTCAGAGCTGAAATATAGTGTTTTCCACAAGGATCTAGAAAATTTAAAACTCGTACATGTGCAGCCTTTTACATAAATTAAAGAAACTGCGTGGCTTGTCTGAAAATCCTAGCCAGAAGACCCCACAAAAGAAGATGCGGCATACAAACCTCTATGGCCGGCATAGAGGCATCAAGTGAAATGTTTCCTTAGGTTGGTTAGATTCTCTTTATTTGTTGTCAATAGTCTATGATTCTATAATAGTTTATTTCTTTTTTCAGGAATTCAACATAATTTCTACAATTATCATTTGAGCAGTCTGAAAATATATCACTGCTAAGCTGTTATTCGTTAGCACATGATGGATCCCAGAGAAGACAAGTTATATGAGTACTCGGAGTGTGAGAGAAGCTTCATTTCAAAGTCATTTCTTACAGTTCACCAGAAGATTCATAATGAAGAGAAACCATTTGATAAGACACATCTTCCTCAGCACCAGAGGAGTCACACAGGATGGAAGCCATTTAAATGTTCAGAATGTGACAAGTGCTTTGCTACTAAGGGAAATCTTACTCAACACAAGAGGACTCATACTGGAGAGAAGAAATTTAGATGTTCAGAATGTGACAAGTGCTTCGCTGCTAAGGCAACTCTTACTTTACACCAGAGGATTCACACTGGAGAGATGCTATTTCGATGTTCAGAATGTGAAACGTGCTTCACACGAAAGGATAAACTTGCTATTCACCAGAGGATTCACACAGGAGAGAAGCCATTTCAATGTTCAGAATGTGACAAGTGCTTCGCACGAAAGGAAAAACTTATTATTCACCAGAGGACTCATACGGGAGAGAAACCATTTAAATGCTCAGAATGTGAAAAGTGCTTCACAAATAAGGAAGGTCTTACTAGACACCAGATGATACACACTGGAGAGAGGCCATTTCAATGTTCAGAATGTGACAAGTGCTTCACACACAAGTTACATCTTACTCTGCACCAGCAGACTCATACTGGAGAGAAACAATTTAAATGCTCAGAATGTGACAAGAGCTTCACAAAAAAGCTAAAACTTACTGTACACCAGAGGAGTCACACTGGAGAGAAACCATTTCTATGTTCAGAATGTTACAAGTGCTTCACTACTAAGGGAAATCTTACTCAACACCAGAGGATTCACACTGGAGAGAATCTATTTCTATGTTCAGAATGTGACAAGTGCTTCACAGCTAAGGGAAATCTTACTGAACACCAGAGGATTCACACAGGAGGGAAGCCATTTCGATGTTCAGAATGTGACAAGTGCTTCAGAAATAAGGCACATCTTATTTTACACCAGAGGATTCACATAGGAGGGAAGCCATTTCGATGTTCAGAATGTGACAAGTGCTTCACAACTAAGGGAAGTCTTACTATACACCAGAGCATTCACACTGGAGAGAAGCCATTTCAATGTTCAGAATGTGACAAGTGCTTCAGACAAAAGGAAAAACTTACTCGCCACCACAGGATTCACACTGGAGAGAAGCCATTTCGATGTTCAGAATGTGACAAATGCTTCTCACAAAAGGAGTATCTTACTCGGCACCAGAGGATCCACACAGGAGATTAACCATATTAATGTTCAGAATGTGGCAAATATTTACCCATAAAGTCGAATCTTACTTTTTACCAGAGGACTCACACTAGACAGAAACCATTTTTCCTGCTTAGATTGTGACAAAAGCTTTACATCAAATATAAATCCTATTGGACACCAGAAGATCCACAAAGGAAAAGAGCTGCTCTGAATGTGAGACTCCCTTCATTTAAATGAGAAATCTTATTGGACAGCAGAGCAATTACCAAGGAGAGAAGTCAGTTATGTTCTGAAGACCTGAACACAGGTCTAATCCAAAAGACAAATTGGGGTTTGCTGCATGCTGATTTGGCTCTACCCAGGCATGTGATCAGCTATTTCAGTACGCTATCCATCGATTCTCAACCGCTTTTCTCTTCACTTAACATCTACATGCGAGTGACTGCCTCATGCATAAATGAAAGTCTGCATCCCAGACTCCGTTACAGATTCCATCCTCTTCACCTGTGGCGCACCTGGCAAAGATGGCATCTTCACCTTCCTCTTCAGGGCATCTGGTCTATTCCCTCTAATTGGCTGATGCAATCAACGGCTCTGCCAACGACAATCTTCCACCACATTTACCTCCTGAACAACAGGAGGTCTCCTGTCAAGATGCGGCCCTCTTTGAAAACTTTAAGCTGCTGCTTCAAAGGAAACTTCTGGCCGCTACCGATAAAATGACTTCTAAGCTTTCCAAGGAGATTAAAGAATTGGGCTTTGCGACTACACGAGATGGAGTAAAAGATAGATGATGTTTTTTTGGAGGTGGATTATAATGATCAGGATCTGGACTGGAAAATAGGAGCCGTTGGCAAAACAAATGAATTTGCGGTGTTCCTGAGCATATTGAAGATGTTCAAACCACCGTCACGTTCCAAGATTTGTTCCCGGGGTACCCAGGCGAGCAGCTTGAAATAGATCTGGTCCACCACACTCTCTTTCCTAAACACACCAACGTACCCCCTGAGAGATATAATTCTTAAACCACGTTTTACAAAACCAAAGAGGCGATCCTGCGAGCCATATAGGAGAAGCGTTATTTACATTTTTTTTAACAACAACTATCAAATCTTTGTGGACATGGCTCCCCAAACCCTACAGAGATGGAGAGTGTTGAAGCCTTATCTGACCACTTTGTTACAATATGGCGTTAAGTGGGGATTTCCATTTGAAGTTGTCTTTAATTATGGAAACCAAGTTCACTCATTCTCTTCCATGGAAGAAGCTGGATCCCTCTTGAAACAACTACAACTCACTATCTCTGCTACCGCTGCTCCTTCCACACCTCTAACCCCGAAGGAGCGCCCCCGACTCCTGACAGAGATTCTGCTGCTCTCAAGCTTTGACTGCCGATCCGGGTGACCTGATATTTTTTTTCTGCTTTTACTTACCTTGAGTTCCCAGAGCTCTTCTTACTGTCACACTACTCTTAGCTGGTCTTTTATTTGGACACCTGTACCATCTACCATAATGGTCCAGTTGTGTTGCAGTGATTACCATGTTCTACTTAGTTTGTTAGTTAGACTTTTTTGTTTGATTTCCCAAGGACAGTTTTTTTTCACTTTATTACCATTCTGTTTCATGTTTTGAGCACCATATGATATAGCTGATTATCTTCCATTGCCCTCGATTTTAACCATTTTTGCCAATCCCCATTGCTCATCACAAACTCCACACAGCTCCAACGCAGTTAGAGCATTACAGGAAAATATGTAAAAGGAGCCAAAATATAATCCTGCTGGCTGGATTAAAGATTTTGTAGTATTCTTATTAATCTATATTTACAAAACAAAGTCCTGACCCTTGCAGATTGAAACAATAATGTGTTGCAATCTAAAATAATTCCCTTTTTAGCTTTTAAAATGCATGTATTATGTATAGAGACTTAAAGTGGTCAGGACTAAAATGTGGGTTTTGTTAAACTTTTTTCTCTTTTGTTAGGTGTAGTTCCATTGAATATTTTTGCCATTCTTAAATGCAGCCAGCAGGTGAAGCTCTTGGTTCCTTTTCATATGTGCTGCCTATTGTTTGTGGACTTCAGCTGATCAAAGAGTAATCAGTGCAGTGACTGCTCCACCTTCCTTCCCTGCGCATCAGTTTCAGACACAGACAGGATGTTTGAAGGGGGAACATCTTCTGCTGTGCTCTCTACTGAAAACCTGTCATTTTATGGCAAAACGTTTGTCACGGGTCCAGCCTGTATTACACATCTATTATATTTATAACTTTGTATTTTAAAAAAATATATATATACAGTTTTATTTGATGGAACCTAAATAAACAATATATTTAATCCATGCATGAACCATGTCTCTGCCTCATTTAAACACATCTTACTTGTCTTTTCATCTTGCAATGGGAATGTGAAAGTATGAAGTACATCTGTGGAATGTGTTCTATTCTAGACTCTGTATAGGTTATATATGTGACAGAGCCAATGGTGTGTCAGCTGGAAATTGTCAGCCATACCAATGATATCAACACGGAACCAAAAAAACGATATAGATAGTCTTTATTGGTTTTCATATTTCATTTTAGGATTCCAGATATTGGTTCTTTGATTGGCTCACCACTTTTCCAAAATATCTGCACTGTGATACAAATAAAATTGTAGCACCCCCTGCAATAGGGGTTTCTTTTTTCAGTGAGATATTTTCCAAGTTTCCTTCCATAAAGACATACAGATGCTGCAGCTTTTCTCATTACCATACTGAGATTGCCTCAGGTGTTCATAGGGGACATTGAAAAATGAGTCTGAGAAAGGACATGTTAAAACAAAGAGGAATGCAATTTAAAATAGAGAGAAGTTTGAATGTCAGTAAATCTGTGCAGTGTGTTGGTTTACCTGAATCTCACCAGGCTCTTTTTCTCTAATTCACTGGAGTGAGTACTGATATCAGGGATATACAGAAATCAGACCATAAAGTATATTGTCACCTATTTCATTTCTCATAATTGTGCAGGATTTACTTTATAGAGAATGGTCCAATAGACCACTGCGGACAGTCCAAAATTAGATGATAGTATTCCAATGTCTGCAATAGGAATTATTTGCGGCCACCTCTCCAAGTTTTTGAGTTCATGTGTTTTCAGTAAAGGGCATTATATTTTGGTAAATCTATATTTATTTTATTTAATACAGTTATAATTATCATACAAACATATAAAAAAATGACATATATCTCACCATAATATTACATTGAAATGAGTTGCGACAAACATAAAGCATTAGGTCATACCATTAATCGATTTCAACACCGTCTTTATGCAGAAGTGACCATACTTCATGTCTAGATCTTAAAACATTGTGTCGGAATCGATTAAAAGCATACACTCAGTTATAGCATTGTATACATCTCCAAAGCAATAAATATAGCCCCATATATTCGCTTCCAATAATTATAGCTCATAATAGAAATGTAAAAAAAAGAAATAAAAGAAAAGAAAAAGCGAAACTAGCAACAAAACTATATCAAAAGACCTGAATAAATAATTTTAGGCGCCATATGGGGACTACCAGAGAAAAAAAGAGGAGTAGGGTGTGGGGATATCACAGGATACAAAAAATCATGAATTGATCTTTGGCTGAAGGTGGGAGAATACATAAACAGACATCGGGTCTCACCTCAGACAGAGAATTTTAGCAACTAGAAATCTGAAATAGGCCAGATCAGAATGAAGAGACCCTAATTAACATTTGTTTTTATTAATCTCGGGGTGCTTTATGTTTCAATAAATAGAAATCATAAATCTAAATATATTTGTTGGCTGTTATTGGCACCACAGATGAGGGGAAGCAACTTATATGGGCTGGGTAATATACATGACACGTAAAACGCACTGTTCAAATTCTGTATCTCTTTCTAAAGTGGATGAGCTCAGTGTCTGTATGCTTTAGGTGATGATCCTTTTGGAATACTGCTTCTTATTTAGAGGCCCCTCTCTATGCATCCTCAGATACGTCCAGTCTGGCATCAACATGGTGGTGGCAGCCCAAATATTAGACCTCAAACAGTCAAGGAGCCAGTAGAAGATAACACTTCTTATCATTTCATTAGTTAACTTACATGTTAACTAACCTTACCAGACCTTCTATTTTACAGACCTTTACTTGTTATATGCTCATAGTAATGTGATTGCTTCACTTGCACATACAATTGCTCTCATATACAGTTTTTGCATTTAAGACATGCATGGATGAATATATGGGGCATGTTGAAGTTGTTACAACTAATAAAAAGTTAAAAAGTTGCGATTACTAATGTTGACATTGTCAGAATGTTTATACTGCTCTGATATACTATATTCTATTCATGGAAACAATTAGAAATCTATAATTAAGGAGATTCCCAATCTATTTCCATAAATCAAAATTTACGCAAGTTCTTTCATTTGCGCTGACTTCGAAGACAAGAGGAATACCAAAGTATACAAAATATAGATATTTATTTATCAAAAATCAGTGCAAAAATAATAAAATATAATTGGTGACAAAAAAAGAATATGGATCAGATAATATCAATCCATTTGATAACACAGGTAATGCATAAAAATGTAACCACTGGATATTGTCCAAAAAAAAAATATAAATGTAACCAAGATAACACGACTTTTTAAATGTAATGGGTATCTTCTCAGTATCACACAGAATAAGAAAACGAAAGGCTCAGAATTGACATGTGACTTCTCTCAGCACAGATAATAGGCAGATAGATGCTACATATAATATAATAATATAATAACATTGTTACTAATATTTATTACTGCAATGAATAGTAAGGTTTCATAAGGAACTTTTAAATAAGCCCCTTTCTTCTATTCATTGAACAAAGAAAAAAAAACTCTTTAGAAATTACAATCTCTTGTAGGGAGACAAAGTAATCAATCAAGCCCTACACAGGCTGGCACCGTCTTTAACTGATATGCGTCTGAGACCCCCACCATTTACGATCTGAAGAATGTTTATACTAACATTCCTAATTTCTCTGTGAAGGTCTCTGTACAAGAAAAGAATGAACTTATAGCACATAGACAAAATGGCTACTAGTATGCCCATAGACACCTCTGTAAAATGACATGTTTAGGCCTATGAAATCGATTCCTTTCGGCCCAATAGTTCTGACAACATGCTTGTAATATTTTAAATATTTTTGTGTGAAAAGGGATTAACATAATTTGGTGCTATTTATGGATACAGAATATAAATAAATAAATATATTTTCCCACCATTGTAACTGAGAATGAAAGTTGTGGCAAATCTAAAATTTGACATCTATCAAAAGAACAGGAATAGAGGTGAGAGGAAATCATTCAATGGGGGCACTTGTTCCTGTGACAATTAGGTACGAGGGGAGTTCACTTACTCTGGAGATAATTTTTTTTTTCCTTTTGAATATCCAGGAAAGGAAGTGAAGGGAAATCTCCCCAATGGCACACAGACAGCAAAGAATACATTCAGAAGGGTTGTAAAACGTCTTTACTTTACCCACATGTTAAAAAAGATAATTTAACAAAGACTCTCCTTTTGCCATTGATGATACAATTATAGTGTCACCTGTTCATGCTAATGATGAGAGACAACTCCCAGTCATTTACAATGAAGGTTGCCTCCTATTGTCCTCACTCCAAATATTAGAATGTTAATGAACTTGTCCTGATTGTGATAATGATGGAGAGCTGAAACAAAGAACAGCCGAAACTGCCCCCATTACAATGTAAACATTCCTTTAGTGAAGTAAATCTCACCTTTTCAGCCAATGGAGATCCAGCACATGTCAATGAATGGTGGTGAAATGAATATAAGGCAAGGCTGGGCTCAGTCAGTTACAAGAACTGCTGGTCAAGAGAACAAGAAGCTTCTAAAAATTAAATAATAAAAATAACTCCTATTATATAAGCAATCAATGACAATGTACCTTCATTTCTCATTGTTCAGGTCTCAGTGCTCCAAAATCTGTTTTATCTAAATCACAACTTCCAGCCAGAGGGGGGCAACTTTTCTTCCCCATGGACAGTATGTGTGCTGAAAAGCAGTCACCCTCTGTGCTCGCTCCCATGAGGGACTACATTCAGAGGTCAGGAGGCATTTTTGATTCAGTAAATGTTCTGGAGACTCATATGATTCTTTGATTCAGTGTGCTATTGACTCAGAACTGGTTTAACTACCTTCCGTCCATGGCCGTTTGTGAATGGCCGGACGGACGTCTGCTAGGAGCGGGAGGGCGTCTTAAGACGTCCTGCCCCTCCCCCTTCTCGTGTGCGGCACTCAGCGCGCACACGAGAGGGAAAACTGTAAGCATGTAAACAGCCAGCGATGGCTGTTTACATACAAGCGATCAGGCGTCTCTAGACGCCCGATCGCTTGCAGGAGCTGCGGGTGTGCGCCATTTAAGTGGTTAAGTTTGTATCCAGTTGTCGGTTCTCAGTTCTGATTGGTTGCAGGGAGGGGCTGGCAGAAGCTGAGCTCTCTTACACTAGGATCTTATTACCAGAGCAGCTTTCCTATTCATTCAACACCGTACTGTTCCAAAGGAATCAGCTCAGCCAGAGGAATCCATTCATACAGTTCACTGAAAAGAATCGATTCAAAAGAACAATTGGTTCATGAAGTGGACATCACTACTCGGTGACAGAGGAGGGGGGGTAGAGGTGAGCTGAATGTGTCACGCTTGTTATCTCAGCCAGTTTGTTTCTCTAAATTTCTGATAGAAGTCACCATGTGAGCCATCAGCACGCTCAGACTTTATCTGACAATCCTCTCCAATATGGAGTTTTGTGCATTAGTGAGACTTTGTATGCTGCTTGGCTGTGTGTAATGTGTCACAGTGAACAGACTGTTGTATGAGCTTTAGTATTACATTTGTTATTTGGGATTCGGACGCACCACCGAATAAACTGATTTTCGCTGATTTGCAGGTTTATCCGAATGCACATGTGTAGTTTTTAGTTTTTTTTTTTTTAAATGTAATATCACAAATCTTAAGGGGAACTGAGTTGAGCCGAGGCATGTGGGGAGGAGGAGGCAAACGCTGATGTTGCCAGGGTGACACCAAGGAGAGCTGGGAGAGGTCCCGGCTTGTAGTGTGCTGCTAAGTGAGGAAAAGGAGAGAGATCGCTTGAGAGAGCAATGTCTGCTGACAGCGTGTGGGGAGAAGCTGAGAGCGGTGTGGGGAGAAGCTGAGAGCGGTGTGGGGAGAAGCTGAGAGCGGTGTGGGGGGACGCTAAGAAAATTTGATACACCAATGTAATCCAGGGTCAATCACGATGTCAAGCATTTTACACAAGGATGACGACTTGATGAAATAAAAATAATTTGACAGATGCCGGTAACATATAAATATTTTGGCGGAGCTACCAGTGACAGCTACTGTTTACAGTCACTGTTTAAAGTTGTAACAGGGTGAGCCATGATTGGGCAGAGTCAAAACGCTGATGTTGCCAGGGTGACACCAAGGAGAGCTGGGAGAGGTCCCGGCTTGTAGTGTGCTGCTAAGTGAGGAAAAGGAGAGAGATCGCTTGAGAGAGCAATGTCTGCTGACAGCGTGTGGGGAGAAGCTGAGAGCGGTGTGGGGAGAAGCTGAGAGCGGTGTGGGGAGAAGCTGAGAGCGGTGTGGGGAGAAGCTGAGAGCGGTGTGGGGGGACGCTAAGAAAATTTGATACACCAATGTAATCCAGGGTCAATCACGATGTCAAGCATTTTACACAAGGATGACGACTTGATGAAATAAAAATAATTTGACAGATGCCGGTAACATATAAATATTTTGGCGGAGCTACCAGTGACAGCTACTGTTTACAGTCACTGTTTAAAGTTGTAACAGGGTGAGCCATGATTGGGCAGAGTCATCATATCTGTGCCCAATCATGGCTCTCACTCTTCTATGTGCTCTGATTGGGCAAAGTCTTGCACCTGACATGCAAGGCTTTAGCCAATCAGGGCTCACAAGGCACAGAGGCTTGTGCGGGGTGCATGGCTGGTGAAGCATTTGGGAACTCCTGAATGCCTCACAGACCCGACTGGCATTGGGGAGTTCACGATTGCTATGTAGTATTTGACAGCTGAGAATGGATTTCGCAGGGCGTGTTTTCATCGGGTTCGGTCGGCGAGACTTTTTTTTATTGCGGCGGGTCGGCGGGCATTGTGCATCGTGATTGACGCTGGAATCACCCCCACAGACTCGCACACAAAACCCAAAGGTTGAACTCAATGAACCTGTGTCTTTATTCCACCTTAACAACTATCTAGCTTGGATAACAGTTATTTCTGTATATATATATATATAAGGACAAAAAGCTCCTTCCTAGGGTGTTAGCTTATGCCACCAGTGTCTTGTTAATGCATAGGTGCTGCAGAAGTTGCAACGCTACCTGTATGGTTGCAGCTTGACAGTCAGCACTGACCACAAGTTGCTGAGGAGAACAGCAAACCTCCCATATATATCCCATCCAGGACCCAGCCTTGCCATCCTGTACAATATAAATATATATATATGATCCAAACGAAATTTCTCTTCTACAATCAATTAGGAGAAGTATTTCATTAATCTGTATTCTGGGAATAGCTAATGAAATAGAAAACATCTTTGCTGCACCAATCCCTAGCAGTGGAGACTCAGAGCTGAAATATAGTGTTTTCCACAAGGAACTAGAAAATTGTAAACTCGTACATGTACTGCCTTTTACATAAATTAAAGAAACTGCGTGGCTTGTCTGAAAATCCTAGCCAGAAGACCCCACAAAAGAAGATGCGGCATACAAACCTCTATGGCCGGCATAGAGGCATCAAGTGAAATGTTTCCTTAGGTTGGTTAGATTCTCTTTATTTGTTGTCAATAGTCTATGATTCTATAATAGTTTATTTCTTTTTTCAGGAATTCAACATAATTTCTACAATTATCATTTGAGCAGTCTGAAAAAATATTACTGCTAAGTTGTTATTCGTTAGAACATGATGGATCCCAGAGGAGACACGCTATATGAGTACTCAGAGTGTGAGAGAAGCTTCATTTCACAGTCATTTCTTACAATCCACCAGAAGGTTCATAATGAAGAGAAATTATTTGATAAGACACATCTTCCTCAAGACCAGATGAGTCACACAAGATGGAAGCCATTTAGATGTTCAGAATGTGACAAGTGCTTCACTACTAAGGGAAATCTTTCTACACACCAGAGGACTCATACTGGAGAGAAACCATTTAAATGTTCAGAATGTGACAAGTGCTTCAGACAAAAGGAAAAACTTACTATTCACCAGAGGACTCACACTGGAGAGAAACCATTTAAATGTTCAGAATGTGACAAGTGCTTCTCAACTAAGGGAAGTCTTACTAAACACCAGAGCATTCACACTGAAGAGAAGCCATTTCAATGTTCAATATGTCACAACTGCTTCACTCAAAAGCATAACCTTACTTTACACCAGAGGACTCATACTGGAGAGAAACCATTTCAATGTTCAGAATGTGACAAGTGCTTCAGAAAAAAGGAAAAACGTACTATTCACCAGAGGACTCATACTGGAGAGAAACCATTTAAATGCTCAGAATGTGACAAGTGCTTCACAAATAAGGAAAGTCTTACTAGACACCAGATGATACACACTGGAGAGAGGCCATTTCAATGTTCAGAATGTGACAAGTGCTTCACACACAAGTTACATCTTACTCTGCACCAGCAGACTCATACTGGAGAGAAACAATTTAAATGCTCAGAATGTGACAAGAGCTTCACACATAAGCTAAAACTTACTGTACACCAGAGGAGTCACACTGGAGAGAAACCATTTCTATGTTCAGAATGTTACAAGTGCTTCACTACTAAGGGAAATCTTACTCAACACCAGAGGATTCACACTGGAGAGAATCTATTTCTATGTTCAGAATGTGACAAGTGCTTCACAGCTAAGGGAAATCTTACTGAACACCAGAGGATTCACACTGGAGGGAAGCCATTTCGATGTTCAGAATGTGACAAGTGCTTCAGAAATAAGGCACATCTTATTTTACACCAGAGGATTCACATAGGAGGGAAGTCATGTCGATGTTCAGAATGTGACAAGTGCTTCACAACTAAGGGAAGTCTTACTAAACACCTGAGCATTCACACTGGAGAGAAGCCATTTCAATGCTCAGAATGTGACAAGTGCTTCAGACAAAAGGAAAAACTTACTATTCACCACCACAGGATTCACACTGGTGAGAAGCCATTTCGATGTTCTGAATGTGACAAATGCTTCTCACAAAAGGAGTATCTTACTCGGCACCAGAGGATCCACACAGGAGATTAACCATATTAATGTTCAGAATGGCAAATGTTTACCCATAAAGTCGAATCTTACTTTTCACCAGGGGACTCACACTAGACAGAAACCATTTTTCCTGCTTAGATTGTGACAAAAGCTTTACATTAAAAAGAAATCCTATTGGACACCAGAAGATCCACAAAGGAGAAGAGCTGCTCTGAATGCGAGACTCCCTTCATTTAAATGAGAAATCTTATTGGACAGCAGAGCAATTACCGAGGAGAGAAGTCAGTTATGTTCTGAAGACATGAACACAGGTCTAATCCAAAAGACAAATTGGGGTTTGCTACATGCTGATTTGGCTCTATCCAGGCATGTGATCAGCTATTTCATTACGCTATCCATCGATTCTCATCACTTAACATCTACATGCGAGTGACTGCCTCATGCATAAATGAAAGTCTGCATCCCAGACTCCGTTACAGATTCCATCCTCTTCACCTGTGGCGCACCTGGCAAAGATGGCATCTTCACCTTCCTCTTCAGGGCATCTGGTCTATTCCCTCTAATTGGCTGATGCAATCAACGGCTCTGCCAACGACAATCTTCCACCACATTTACCTCCTGAACAACAGGAGGTCTTCTGTCAAGATGCGGCCCTCTTTGAAAACTTTAAGCTGCTGCTTCAAAGGAAACTTCTGGCCGCTACCGATAAAATGACTTCTAAGCTTTCCAAGGAGATTAAAGAATTGGGCTTTGCGACTACACGAGATGGAGTAAAAGATAGATGATGTTTTTTCAGATGTGGATTATAATGAGCAGGATCTGGACTGGAAAATAGAAGCCGTTGGCAAAACAAATGAATTTGCAGTGTTCCTGAGCATATTGAAGATCTTCAAACCACCGTCACGTTCCAAGATTTGTTCCCGGGGTACCCAGGCGAGCAGCTTGAAATAGATCTGGTCCACCACACTCTCTTTCCTAAACACACCAACGTACCCCCTGAGAGATATAATTCTTAAACCACGTTTTACAAAACCAAAGAGGCGATCCTGCGAGCCATATAGGAGAAGCGTTATTTACATTTTTTTTAACAACAACTATCAAATCTTTGTGGACATGGCTCCCCAAACCCTACAGAGATGGAGAGTGTTGAAGCCTTATCTGACCACTTTGTTACAATATGGCGTTAAGTGGGGATTTCCATTTGAAGTTGTCTTCAATTATGGAAACCAAGTTCACTCATTCTCTTCCCTGGAAGAAGCTGGATCCCTCTTGAAACAACTACAACTCACTATCTCTGCTACTGCTGCTCCTTCCACACCTCCACCTGTAACCCGAAGGAGCGCCTCCTGACTCCTGACAGAGATTCTGCTCCTCTCAAGCTTTGACAGCCGATCCGGGTGACCTGATATTTTTTTTCTGCTTTTACTTACCTTGAGCTCCCAGAGCTCTTCATACTGCCACTTAGCTGGTCTTTTATTTGGACACCTGTACCATCTACCATAATGGTCCAGTTGTGTTGCAGTTATTACCATGTTCTACTTAGTTTGTTAGACTTTTTTGTTTGATTTCCCAAAGACAGTTTTTTTTCCCTTTTTCTTCACTTTATTACCATTCTGTTTCATGTTTTGAGCACCATATGATATAGCTGATTATCTTCCATTGCCCTCGATTTTAACCATTTTTGCTACTCCCCGTTGCTCATCAGGAAACGTTTTTTGCACATGTGGCTACCTTTGGTGTTTCCCTTTGCTGCATGCCTCTATTGCCATTTTTCCTTCTTGCTTTCTCTCCCTTTCAGTCCCCCTCCCTTTCCTTTTCCCATCTTTTTCTCTCTATTTTCTCCCCTTCTATAATTTCTTTCCATTTTCTCCATCTTTTGCAACTCACAGTGCTTTGCAATTACCAAAGCATGGTGAGTGCTTCTGTCTTTCCTCAATGGAGTTGAATTACTAACTGAATAGAGGATGTTGACTTAGTAAAGTGTATGTTCACTTAGCATAGCAAATAAAGTAAAGCTGTGTTTTCTTTGAAAAAACCTGAATTTGTATTCAGGCTTTACAATCATGGGGTGCCAACTTCACACAGCTCTAAAGCAGCTAGAGCATTAGAGGAAAATATGTAAAAGGAGCCGAAAGATAATCCTGCTGGCTGGATTAACGATTTTGTAGTATTCTTATTAATAATTTATATTTACCTAACACAGTCCTGACCCTTGCAGATAGAAACAATAGTGTGTTGCAATCTAAAATAATTCCCTTTTAGCTTTTAAAATGCATGTATTATGTATAGAGACTTAAAGTGGTCAGGACTAAAATGTGTGTTTTGTTAAACTTTTGTAGGTGTAGTTGTATTGAATATTTGTGTAATTTTTAAATGCAGCCAGCAGGTGAAGCTCTTGGTTCCTTTTCATACGTGCTGTTATTGTTTGTAGACTTCAGCGTATCAAAGAGTAATCAGTGCAGTGACTGATCCACCTTCCTTCCCTGCGCATCAGTTTCAGACCCAGACAGGATGTTTGAAGGGGAACATCTTCTGCTGTGCTCTCTCTACTGAAAACCTGTCATCATTTAAACACATCTTATTTGGCTTTTCATCTTGCAATGGGAATGTGAAAGTATGAAGTACATCTGTGGAATGTGTTCTATTCTAGACTCTGTATAGGTTATATATGTGACAGAGCCAATGGTGTGTCAGCTGGAAATTGTCAGCCATACCAATCATATCAACACGGAACCAAAAAAACTATATAGATAAAGCAAAGTATTCTATTGGTTTTCATATTTCATTTTAAGATTTCAGATATTGGTTCTTTGATTGGCTCACCACTTTAGCAAATTATCCGCACTGTAATACAAATAAAATTGTAGCACCCCCTGCAATAGGGGTTTCTTTTTTCGTTGAGATATTTTCCAAGTTTCCTCCCATAAAGACATACAGATGTTGCAGCTTTTCTCATTACCATACTGACATTGCCTCAGGTGTTCATAGGAGACATTGAAAAATCAGTCTGAGAAAGGACATGGAAAAACAAAGAGGAATGCAATTAAAATAGAGAGAAGTTTGAATGTCAGTAAATCTGTGCAGTGTGTTGGTTTACCTGAATCTCACCAGGCTCTTTTTCTCTAATTCACTGGAGTGAGTACTGATACCAGGGAAATACAGAAATCAGACCATAAAGTACATTGTCACCTATTTCATTTCTCAAACTTGTGCAGGATTTACGTTATAGAGAATGGTCCAATAGACCACTGCGGACAGTTTAACATTAGATAGTATTCCAATGTCTGCAATAGAAATGCTTTCTGGACACCAAACCATTACGCCTACAATATGACCAAAGCTCTGTGGACACCCCTCTAAGTTTGTTCAGGTGTTTTCAGTAAAGGGCATTATATTTTGGTAAATCTATATTTATTTTAATTTAATAAAGTTATAATTATTATACAAACATATTTAAAAATGTCATATCTCATCAAAATATAACATTGGAATGAGTTCGGACAAACATAGAGCATTAGGTAATTCCATTAATCGATTCAACACCGTGTTTGTGTCGGAATTAGTTAAAAGCATACTCAGTTATAGCATTGTATACATCTCCAAAATAATAAATACAGCCCTAATATATTCTACTCCAATACTTAGAATCTACAATAGAAATGAAAAAAAAGCAAAAAGAAAGAAAAGGAAAACTAGCAACAAAACTATATCAAAAGACCTGAATAAATAATTAAAGGCGCCATATAGGGACTACCAGAGAAATAAAAAAAAGGAATAGGGTGTGTGAATATCACAGGACACAAAAAATCATGAATTGCTCTTTGGCCTAAGATGGGAGAATACATAAACATACACCGGGTCCCACCTCAGACAGAGAATTATAGCAAGTAGAAATCTGAAATATGCCTGATCAGAATGAGGAGACCCAAATTAACATTTGTTTGGCTGTTTTTATTAATCTCGGGGTGCTTTATGTTCCAATAAACAAAAAGCATAAATATAAATATATTTGTTGGCTGTTATTGGCACCACAGATGAGGGGAAGCAACTTATATGGGCTGGGTAATATAAATGACACATAAAATACACTGTTCAAATTCTGTATCTCTTTCTATAGTGGATGAGCTCAGTGTCTGTATGCTTTAGGTGATGATCCTTTTGGAATACTGCTTCTTATTTGGCGGCCCCTCTCTATGCATCCTCAGATACATTCAATCTGGTATCATCATGGTGGTGGCAGCCCAAATATTAGACCTCAGACAGTAAAGGAGCCAGTAGAAGATAGCACTTCTTATCATTTAATTAGTTAACTTTGTGTGTTAACTAATGTAGCGCTCACCCCGAAGGAGCCGCTGAATATGAAATAGGGTTCTCCTACCTGTTGGTTCCAGCTACCGGTCCCCTTTGATCAGCAACAGCACACCGACACTCATGGACAGAATGGCTCGAGTCTTAGGGTTCTTTTTAGGTTATTTATTTGCAAGTTCAATAGGAGAGAGAGGGTTTAGGATCTGTAGGATGCCCTTGGAAATACTTCGGAGGACAGCTTTCTCCCTTAGCAACAGCTAAGGCTGAAATCACTGTGATCTGGTCCCATAGACCAATAGTAGTAACAATACTGCGAACAGTCAGGATGATCCAGTAGCTTATATGGAGAAGGTTAGCTATCTCTGGACTTAAGTAAGGACCCCTGGCTTCTTCTCGAACAGATACCTGGAATAGGGTGAGGGATCTCCCTTGTGGGTCCCAGACGGACGCTCGCACCAGCTCCTCTGCGGTACCCCTCAACAAGCAGACTCTCCCTCTG